TTTTTTTTTTTTTTTTGAGACAGAGATTCATTACATCGCCTTTAGTAGAGTGCCATGGCGTCATAGCTCACAGGCACTGCAAACTCTTGGGCTTAAGTCTTACCTCTTGCCTCAGTATCCCAAGTAGCTGGGACTACAGGCTCTGGCCACAACACCCAGTTATTTTGTTGTTGCTGTTGCAGTTGTCATTGTTGTTTAGCTGGCCCGGGCTGGGTTTGAACCTACCACCCTCAGTGCATGTGTCTGGTACCTTAAGCACCATGCTATGAGCTCCGAGACAAGAAGGTTAACTTTTTCTCATGTGTAAAATGAAAAAAAATAGAACTGCTGTGAAGATTAAACGGCTAACAAGTATGAAGTAGTTATGCTGTGCCAACATGGAACAGAGTAAGTGGCCCATAAAAAGTAACTATTGCTTGTTACTTTTGCTATTCGGGATCAGTCAGAGCTTGGCAACAAAGGGGAAGACAGGAGCAGGGGGGTAAGTAGCAGTCAGGGTTGGCCAAGCCCACCCTGGGCCATAAATCCCACTTGGGTGTCTCCCTTTTTAGAGCCCCCCCTTTCTTCTCCTGGCTCCAAACGCTGCTCCACCAGGAGGCTCTGAATTAGCCTTTGGGGCTCTCCAAATGGGGCTTCCCTGAGTCTGGGGGCTGCTGAGGGAGGACACGACCCTCTTCAAGAGGTTGCCCTCCTCCACTTGCAGGGTGTGCCAGAACTCTCATCCTCTGAAGATCCGCTATTTCCACAGAACTGATTTACCACCCTCCCCTGCTCTGGCCAGCACCCCTTCGTTTGTGTATTCCAAGACACGCTTTGCCTTTATTTCCTTGGAGCTGCATTTCTGGATTGTCTCGGGTTTCTGTCGACCTTGAGGGGCTGTGACCCTGAGTGTCATAGACCATGGGCAGCTATGAGGCCATCAATGTCCACTTTTGGGGCGGGATCCTCTTTCTCATGATGTGGTTCCCCATGGCCTTAGTGACACAGCAGCACATCAGAGCCATGGCTTTGGGAACAGTTCCCAAGGATTTCCTGGTCTCTTTTCTGGACAGTAGTCAAGAGGTCAGGACGCCTTGGCCCAGGACTATATTTAGATTATACTTTTCTATCTGGGACCTTGGCTGGCCTCACGGCCATGCATCCCCCACTTTTCCAGCCAGCTTTACGTTCTTGAGTCCCCACTCTAGCTACTTTACTCAGATGTACACCTAGAACTACTACAGCCCTATGGCTTTGGGATTTCTCTACTCAGAGGAGTTCATTTAGAAGAGTACCCCAAACTCTTCTTCCTTGTTGATCATATTCAAAAAATTTCAATTCTATCAATTTGAACATAAGTGTCTAAGAGGTTCCAAAATTTCAGCTTCTTCATTTAGTCAATGCTCCATTTTTCCTTAGCCTTTATTTTTTAATCTCTGTTCAATTTTCTAACTATGGTTAAACACCCATTCACCGGCCCCTGCCCACCTCCCAAACCCCCAAAACTGCTCATGGTGAATCGGTTTTTAAATGTTCTTAGTTGTGGCATTCTTAGCATATTACTGACATATGCTGACAATACACTGATTTTTCTTTCTTTCTTTTTTTAATACACTTATTTTTCATCCTCTTTTTCACATACATATTCAACACACAGAGAGCTCTTGTGCCACCCACGGAGACCACACAGGTGGATTATGTGACTGGGTTCCATGGCCTACCTGGAATCAGATCCCACTAGAGTTATGACCATAGGATCTGCTGGTCTTTAGACTCTGGAGTTTTCAACAGCACTCTTCTAGTAAGAAGCCACTACTCAGGCAACAGTGAAGGCCACACAGTCATGTGAATTGACTGATGGTCCTTTCATTTCATCCCACATCCCATGAAGTTCAGTCTGTAGGTCTGTCTCTGATCAGTTTGTTCATAAGGCCATAGACCACTGGCTGCATAACAGAATCACCTGAGGGGCTCTTAAGACATTGCCAATGCTCAGATCTCACCACAGACTTCCTGAGATGACACTGCAGTGGTGTGAGCCATGCCTTGGGCAGTTCTCAGGCACAGGAGAAGCCCCAGCTGTAGACTGGAGACATGTTGTGCCTTCTGTGAGTCTGCCACCATTTGATCCAGCATACTGGAATTGTCCCCTTTGAAAGCCACAAAAGGGTGGAAATCTTCCCAAGTCAAGATCAAAGCAAATCATTCATTTCCCATTTGCTCATTTGTTTTGTTCTGTGAGGTTTTTTTTTCCTTTTCGTTACTAGATGAACCTCTTTGATTGCCAAAACTCTGATTCCATAACTGAAATTTTCTCTTTGATGTGCTTACTGAGCAAATCTCTTATCATAGATTAGGGCTTTCTTGTCAGGTGCTCTTCCCCTCAGATTCTCCTTTGAGAGAGAATTTCTGATTTTATCTGCTTTGCTCTACCTGTGGCAACCTGTCCTCTTCCCTTGGGCTGGCCTTCCACTTTGTGACAGACGGGTTTCCCCTATAGTAACTACTATTGATGCCTGCCCAGAATCCACTTCTCTCCGCTCTTCTCACAGAGGCCATTACTGCTGGGGGTGATTCCCTTTCCTCATGCTAGTGACTGGCCCAGGAACCTGGGTGGAAGCCAGTCAGCACATGGCACTCCCTGGCCACAGGGATTGCTGCAGGTGACCCAGTGAAGGCCAGAGAGATGGGGAAAATTGGACCAGGGCCTTCTGAGAAAAAAGGGCCCCTCTCACTTACCACAAGCTACCAGAAATGACTTTCTTTCTCCCTCTGGACATGTTAAAGGCAAAGCCTAGAACTACTATGGTAACTTAGCCACAGCAAAGGAAGCTAGTCTGGGAACAAAGCTGACCCAAAGAGGAGGGCATAGCCAAGGAAAACAGGAGAAATGGGAACAGAGCTACTCTATCAAACCACTCCTGAAGCCTTCCCTGGATCTGGGTGTTCAACTGCAGAAGCCAGTAATTTCTCTCTGTGCATAAATTAATGGAATTGGATTTGCCATTGTTTATAGCCTAATTTATTGTAACTACTATACACTATGACATCCAGCATTACTCTGGTACACATAAAGATTTCTCACATCTGTACTTTCTGGTGGTTGGCATGCAATTATTGCTGGATTTAAGAAAAGTCCTTAAAAATATTACCTCTTATTTTTCCTACAGGAATTGATTATCCAATTTTTATTAAAATTTTAAACATTTAGAAAAGCTGAAGACATTTAAACCTACCACCTACTTTCTTTTTTTTTTTTTT